TATATACATACAATTATAATGTATGTATGGTTTTTGTTATAAAAGGTATAAAATAATTACCAATTATTAATTAATATACAATTGTTTAAATTACAGACATATTTTTCAACAAAATATGTAGTATAATATTCTATAGACCGAAATATAACATTGATAATTTCAAGTTTATGTTTTACAAGGATAAAACATTGTTATATTAACTTTTTATTTTTTAATATCACTTTAATTAATTTTATTATTTTATATAAATAAAAATAAATTGAACTTAACTACAACGCCGTGAAATATAAATTCAGCAATTCAAGCTCATGCATGAAATATTGTTGTATCGTCTACTCAGAACGTTGCTGTTTTACAAAAAATACTAGTTTGTAAAAAATTAAGAAACTATAAGATATTATTAAAAATTGTAAGCCATCAGTCTTTGCAATATTTTATAACGAATTGTATAAAATATAACCCACATAAAGATACAGTTAGTACTAAGTATGCTGTATTATGTTAATATGTTCCCGGCTTTATAAGATATAAGCCTAGGGCTCTTAAGTTTTATAAGTTGAATATTAATCTATAATATGATCTCAATGTACAGCAGACCAAGCTAGAAATCAGAGCTATACAACTATACAAATATACATTGATGAATTCAAAAGTCAAAAATTTAAAATACATATTTCGTCAATTTTAGAGGAAAAGTGCTCATTTCTTGATCATTTTTATTATTTATAATATTTTCAAAAAAATTGATTGATTTCTTTCTAAATCTATGTGTTTCCAATAATACTATTGAATATAAAACCCAATGTTATTTAATGTAGTCATGTATTTAGTTATTGTTATCGTGACAGTCGACTTTTAATTATACGACAACCTTGTGATACACATTTAATTTCTATCGCACTATTATTCCGATGTGTTATCATTTCGAATATTTTTGTTTAACAATTTTTTTCAGTTCAGTAAAATGTCAAAGTGTTAGACACTTTTCTGCCATATTACTAATATTATAAATTTATTTTTTAATATTTCACATTTCTTTTAGTGCAAATTTATGACAACATAAAATGGTTTTATTTGGAATTTTGAATAGTTTTGAAATTTTATGAAAATATAATACATTTTTTTGCAAATTTGAAATTTTTTTCATGCATAATTTACAATTTGTTTGTACATACTTAGATGCATATTTTTCTTTTTTTTGCTTCTAAGCTTCAGAGCCCTAGTTGTAACATATATACCTCCTAATATTATGAAAAAATCTTTAACTTATTTATTGTAGTATAGAACATATCAGTATATCACAGATACGTAGTAGTTACCTATGTTACTTATTTGTGTAACAATAATCATTATAATATTATATTAAAAATTGACGTAATAACTTTATGCACAAAATAATGACACTTGTTTTATCCACGTCAGAATGCGGACGATCTATGGACATCAGCGATGCGCCGATGCTTAGGTGCATTGTTTCCTTGTTTATAGTTTGTTATAAGTATAAGTTTATAACTTATAACTTATAGAACACCTAAATAGTTACTTTTTTTAAAAATATTTATTGTTTATGAAACTACCAATATTCTATAACTGGAAAAATAAAGTATTTATAATATAATAATAAATAAATAATTACTAGTATAAATATTTAATTGACTATTGGTTGTTATGTAACTTTGCATTGAATATTGATAGATAACAAAGGTACTAAAGATGAATAAATTAATTTTAAATCTTACTATACATTAAGGATTAAAAATGTGTTGACTTATGATTATTATGTTAATGTTGAACTTGTTTTATTCGAATGCTAATTATCTGTAATTAAATAAAATCAGAACACCTCAATGGAATTTAAATTTTAATAATATCTACGTTCACAACATATGAGTATACCCCATAATCCCACCTTATAAATGTTTTGACAACTATTTTGCGTAATACCTTCTAAAATTCTAACACAATAATTAAGTAACTTTCTTAATCTCTCCCCCTCAAATTACCTTTTGGAACCTACATTGATAATTCACTTTATTATATTGGTATTACATTTTATTACTACTTTATACATATAAAGTAGAGCAGAAATCTACACAAGTCTGAAGTCACAAATTGCTCAACTGCAACTATACCAACTATAGTTATATACAGTGAAGTACCCAGGAGGGCCTAAGTGAGCTTCAGCTCCCTCCCCCCCCCACATTGGCCATGTTGGCATAATTCTTATATAATAAAAAGTAAAGTACAAACCATGATATTTCTGAAAACGATTATGAAGAAACATTTTGCGAACCTATTATCAATTTTTTGTAGAGTTTATTACGGTTACGGGGTATAGTAATAACAACCTAATATAAGGTAACGGATATCAAATCATATTGTTGGTATTTTTTGATAAAAAAAATTAATTATAAATTAATATAAACGGCAACTTGCACGTAAAATATTATTATATTCACATAATGTGACTGAAAACTAGCACACAGAAATCTGCATAATATCTCAATTAGACAATAAAGTAAAACAATTTTAAAGGAATAAAATCTTGAAGCGTTTAATAATTTGGTTCATAAAATTGTACAATATGGGTTGTAAACTTGTAAGTTATAAATTAAAGCTGGCACCTTACGAGTTCAAGTAATAACTTATAACACAACTGCGAGCCATTCGCACGTTCACGTGATACACAATCATATATGTGTCATGTGTCCTCGTGTTTTATTATTATTACTTTTTTTAATATATAATAGATCCCATCCAAGAAAATAATATTGTAATATAATAATGTAATTTAAACCGTTTATAATCGAGTCAATAGTGACTTAACTAATAACGTCGTCCGTCGTCGATAATTATAATAATAGGTATATTATAATATTATTTTATTTTAAACGATCGAGTCTTATCTGTCAGGAGGGATTACAATCGCTCACGTTTACACACACAAACACAATATTATTACGGGTTCTGCTCAGTTCAATAAACTTTCTAAATATTATTAAGACGTAGGTACACAACCGGCTAAAACATAAACCTGACAAGAAAATAATTTTTTATACCTACTTAAAATACACATAATAATGTGTCGATGAAATATTTTGCACAATCGAACCGAAAATATACATTCAACAATTAAAAATAATATATAATATTATTACTTCCATTTAAAACGTATTCAAGTTCTAAGAACCAGGGACCGATAACGGTTAATTAACGGAGAGTGGAGTGGAGTAAATTAAATAACAAATATCATAATATCGGGTGATGATCCATGTAACACAAGACACTCATTATTTTTAAAAGTATAACTTTTTAGGAAAAATTTTTTTACATAATTTTAAGACGTTAAAAAATGATATTTTGCTAATAAAAATTCAACTTTACTATTTTGTATCGTGCTAATTTTTTTTAATTTTTACTTTTATTATGACATCATTATTATAATGCAGTATATTTTTGGCAGTACATCGATGTAAAAAAATCGAAACCTGGACGAAAAGTTCATGAGTTATAAGCTTATTTTAAAGTTTAAATGAGTAGAGTGGAGTAGTGTAAGAGAACCGCGCCCAATGCTGGTCCGCTCATCTTAATTTTAAATGTTTGTCACAAATAAATAACTTTACCAGAAATTTGATTTTTATACATCTAAATACTATTCTGCTTCGGAACATGAAATTTCAAATGTACGTTGCCATTCAAAAGAGTAAGCAACTTTTAAAAATGTCTTTTTCTACAAATGTTGTTTTTGTAACGACTGGGTAACGAATTAAAATCATGTTAAAAAGTGTTGGAGTTTTTTTGAAATAAAAGTCTGAGGCACTCGGGGACTGCCGCGGTAAAGCTATTCCATACCAATTTTGTAGATATGTATGGTGTATTTTTGTATGTTATTAATTCAAGTAACACTTTTTAAGGCGACCGAAAAGAAAAAAATAAGATCTTACGACTTAGGGTCACACTTTTTCATAACGAAAACGAAAAATATTTTTTCAGACACCACGTCAGGCCCGCGACAAAAGCTGTACAATAGCTTAATGAGTGTCTCACATTAAATGGATCACCCCGTACATATTGTTTATTACCTATACGTTGTTATAACGGATATAATATAAGTTTACCATTATTGCCTACCATATCTGAAGCGATTGCAGTTAATTTTTTTTATCAATATTATTATTATTTATTTGAATAATATATTACGCTTCCTATTAATATTATAACACAACAAATTACAATAAAAATCACGCGATCCATTGGATCGCCGAAAAGCATTTGCCATGTGCGATGTGCGTCGTAGAAATCAGACAATATTTACAATAATAAAAAAACCGCTGTAAATTATCATACCTATAATAACAGAGTAGATAAAAGTTTAAAATTTAAAATTTAAATGCCCATCCATACATAAAATTTTATCGATATTCGATAAGCGGAGGGCATGAGGTTACTTACGAAGGTGTGTGACTGTGCTCACAAAGCTGAAAGCGATGGTAATACAATATGTATTTTCATCGATATAATTACATTTAACCATTTAAGCAATCGGTATCGAATATGAGTTGATTTCGGATTTTTCATCGAAATGCGACCGCGCCATACGTTCCCTCATAGAAAATAAACATGATATGGGGGAGAAATGAACTCTAAATTACAACAGGTCGCTGTTTTTGTAGCCTTGTAGGTGGTGGACCTGTAAAATTGAGAAATATTCGAGACAGTTATAATTTTAATATTTTCTCCGAGTCGGCTATTATAATACAATATTAATCTAATCTTGTTCTATGATCTTTAGTATCATAACATCGATAATTGGCATTCGATAGCACGTTGTTCGGCCGCGGCGGGCGTCGAAACAATCGATTGTTGGCACCGTGACCCCTGTGCCCAGCCCACGGAAACCCGTCCTCTACCCTCCGCAACGTCGACGTTACAGACTGCCACTGCTCACTTCTACTTCTACCGATACTTTTACCACAATACTACCACCACTACCGTTTACCTGTACCACCTTTATACGACCACACTACCACAGCCACAAGTCACAACACGCACCGACGCTCCGTTTTTTCGCTCACTACAAGTCTCCACATACAAGTTATAACCGCTTTCACTCGTGACCCCGTAAGCCGTACAACTGATCAGACAACTCTGCCGTTAACCTCTGTCGTCCGCGGTTTTTGCATTTCACTATTTCAGTCGACAGCGAACTACAATCCACTGCAAGCGTGCCACGAGACACCGCCAACATGAAGTGATTCCGGGGTCCCCGTAGACGCCGTACAGCCCGCACACGGCCGTGTGCCCAAACCCAACAAAACGACCATGTCCGCGACGGCGAGGTGAGCGATTTGATTATTAATATTATGTCATTCGTACACGATGCGTCGTGTTCGCGTGCATCGTCAACGCAGCGATTACAGTAATACAGCGCCAATAGTAGGGGTACTAAATCGCATACACCGCGATCCGGCCGGCTCTCCGACAATTTAAAATATAATAATCGTCCGGCGACACGGCAGTGGTGGCGACGACTACCTATGCCGAATGGCCGCCGTCGGACCGCTCGCTCGAGCCTTCGACACGAAGTACATAGTGTCGGCGTGGGCGCGTGCACGGCTGCTGTGCCGACTTAGCATTTTCAAGTGCCCTGTACCTGAGCGGAAACGCGTCACAACCGTTGACGTTTAATATGAGCATTGTGTCCCCGAGTGGTTTGTTGTGACTCGTTTGCCCGCGGCGATAATATTAGGTACCAACTTACCACTCTGTACCACCTCAATTGCCCCAAACGTACTTACAACAGTAGCGCAGCCGTCGTCGTGTACTCGTCTACCATTGACACAGTTGGCAAACGATACGACTACAGATTAAAGTTAATTCAAATTATTCTGTGATACGATTATGATGCCGATGTTGCTCCCGGCACTTTTTGGGATGTAAGAGTATGGCCCAAATTGCTTTCCTTGTCGCACTTTGTCTAGGACTTGAGAACAAAATCAATATTACACTTGTTGATTCTTTCTGCTCTACTCGTTTCTTCCTTAGGGTTAATGTGTTCACCTATTGATTGTAGAATCTAGGCGATCGGCTGGTTTCAATAAACTTTCCCTATACCTTGCAATCAAGTCATCTTGAATCTTGTCCTTACATACAGCATTTACAAACGATATTACCTATACAACCTAAAGTTAAAATTGTTATTTTTCCTCCCACGTGTTGTTATACTTTATTATTATTATTATTATTATTAGAGGTGGTCTTGTCTATTGTACCATATCGTTTTAAAATAAAACATTTCTTACAGCAACATACAGTTGAATTAGATAGATTATTTATATTAAATATCATTTGTAAGTCATATGATATTATAAATTGGTTGAGTTTGTAGCATTTCTGTGTTATAAAAATACTTTAAGTGTAGCACATTAAACTCATATAATAAATATTTAATTAATATTCAAGTAGTAAACTATTATAAGGATTGTAGTTTTCTTATCTTTTAAACTTTAAAGGAGGTACAACAAAATTTAGTGTATTAATAATGTAATAGTATTAATCTAAACGAATAAATACAGATAAACTAGGTTCAGTGAAAACTAGCTCTTATTAATTTGTATTTGTTCATTATCTTTGATAATAATATTTTTTTTAAATTAAAATTACAAGGTTATACTAAACTTTCTGGTGAATACAACATAAATATTTGTTTGTACCTCAATTTTATTATTTTGTATCAAATATATTATAGGTAATACTTATTTATACCTTATTACCCATTATTTATTAATAAACTCTCAGCAATCTAAGGAGATTGAAAAATATTAAAATATTTAGTTAACATACAGCATAAGTATCAAGAAGTTTAATCTACCTATGTTTCAATTTCTGGGAGTTGTTTATTCTGTAAATATTAAATAGCTATTTTATAATCTGTAACAGTTTTTTTTTTTTAATTGCCTAATAGAAACAATCATTTTTCTTCTAGTGTCATTAAACCTATTTCAAATGATTTATTTTGAATAGGTATCAATTAATATATAATATATATATCATCTTGGGTACAAAAATAGTTTAAGAACGCAAGGTGTACAAAATATATTTTTAAATCTAAAAATACCTAAATGTGATGCCTTGTTAAAAAATATTTTTTGTTTCTGAAGTATGAGTTTTAATCATTTTAATTATTTTTTTTAGTGCCAATATGGCTTCCTTATTCAAAGATGGTGCCACCATCAAGAACATATCAACACAAATCATCAACAGCGTACTTTTCACTTCATATAATATTGTATCCAATCCATTACAAAATGTCAGGAATGTCGCAAGTAGTCCAACCAAGCTGCTCGTTGCTTTTAAGCAGCGAGCCAACAACTCCTCTGTCTTCTAAAGCCATATGTAATTTAAACGACACAGAATGGGATAAACTAACAAGGAGTGACATGGCTGGAAAATTATTAGAATACCTAGACAAACTGTATGATAAAAACGATGGTAGGTATTTTTTTAAATTTATAATACTAATTTTTATAGAATTAACAAAAATAAAAGTCTATAGCAACCGTGTTGAAAAAGCACATACTTGAAATTAAAATCACTGCATATAAGTGTATTTTTAATGTAAAAATACTTAAATTGTTCTTTTATATTATGAATCTATATTATTTTCTTAGTCAAAATCTAAAATCGTAATAATTTCTGACTGTTAGTTTTTGAAATACAAATGCCTTAAGTTTGCCTGTTTTAAGGTGTCTATATTAAAAATCCATGAACTACCTAATAATTAGTGTTTTGAAGTCTGAAGCACATTATTATCAATAACATATAAGATTAGTTATAACTAATCCTTAGAAAACTATACCATGTCTAGAAAAATTATAGATAACAGACGTGATTTTATGGTTTCCGATCAAAATATTCATTGGGCTACACTCTACAGCAGCTTTCAAGTATCCTAAGCTCTAATCTATTATTTTATATAGCTGGCCAAACACTGATGCAATTATTGTGGAGTGTTTAGTCACTTTTCTACCGTTAAACTAATAACATTTAGTTAGTTAAAGTTTACGTATCAATTTACTGACAACAGCATCTCATTTATTATTTGGAAATAGTCATTGTCACAAGTTTAAAATGTATGAAACTGAGTGCTCTAATATCACCATATCTGAGATGGTTTCAGGTAAATTTATGTCTATTACTATTTTTACCTCAGCCTTAGTGTTATACATATTAAGTGTTCAATAATCAAGTTTGAATTAATTAATTTATTGTACTAAGTATTATTTCATCAGTTTCACGTAGAAGTTGTTAAATGTTAGCCATAACATAGACGTACAATTAATTAAAGAACAACATAATTTATATTATATAAATTAAAACTTAATTAGTGAAAATATAGGTAATATCACATTAATTAAAATAAATCACTAAATTAGGCACTTTATCAATAATAAAAATAATTATGATGATAGTGGAAATAAAACATCGTTATTGAAAATCAATTAGCTTATACATTAAAAGTTAAAATACTGGCAAATATTTTTTTTAAATTACTATTAATTATTGTGAAGAAGTATTCAGTAATTAAACTAAATATAATCTACAAATATATTAGTTTAAATCGATACATGTAAAATAAGAATAATTTTATCTTAAACTCTTAATAGTTAAAACATTTAACTGATACTGATTCATAAAATTTTTCATTTAGTTTAATTATTATATATATTGACATTTATACATCTAACATTATATTATTTAAAAAAAAATATTTTAATAACTGTACCACTGATTAAACATTCATTTTTAATATACTATTTAATGAATTAAGTGTTTATAGAAACTTGATTGTCTTATACAATTTCTGATAGTCTTTGAGCTTTGATCGCCTTTATTTTTCACAGTCGAAAAGTTGCATAGCTATAAATATTAAAATATATTGTATCATATTTGTGTTTTAATAATCAAATAATTTTTTGTTAAACCTTGATGATTATTATATACCACGAAGATACTCAAAATATGAATATGAATATTTAGAAGCTAATAGAGTTGAATATTACCAAAATATTTTAAGTATTTAATTTAACACTTAAATTTAAAAAAAAAATGTGTTGGTAGTTGGTTATGTATTATTGTATTGTTAAAATAATGTTCTATTTATTACGAGGTGTTTATAAAAATGTTCTCTTTAAGTCTGTAACTTAGTGCCTTAATATAATTTCTAGAATTTTGTAACATGAAACATGTATATTTTTCAACAACAAAAACATCGTAAAATGAATAGACTTTTCCTCTATGCCAGATTTTAAGATCATGAATTAATTAATTAAATTTAGTAACTGAAATTCCTTGAAATATTATTTTTATACAATATTGTATTTTTACTTTTGCTTTGAATTATCTATGCTTTACTATAAAAAATAGTTATGTATATTTTAAAGGTGTCTGATTTCTTTAAATGTTAATACTTAGTACATAAGTAATACAAAAATACACAAATCCTAATTGAAACTTTTCAAGGATAATTACTATCATCAGCTGACAAAAATTGAAATCATTTTTTGTTGATCGTAAATATTGAAAAAAATTGTCATTTTGTGCCCTACTTTTTTATTGTATGCATTAGAAATCATTTTGAAAAACATTAAATAGCTATACGTCATCCACATTAATAATACTTAAGACTTAGGCTTTCAACTCTTGTCAACGTAATGTCTATAACAATGTCACTGTCAAGTGTCAGTTACTAAAAATATTTGTTAATGATAAGTTATAATTTTTAACGACTGCAAAATCACATTTGGTTCCACAACACAATTTCAACCAATCATAGATTATTATGGTAGGTACTTATATAAATATATAAGTATGCCCAGTATGGGGAAGGGGGTTCGCGGGCCCCTCCTATAAACCTCCTAAATCAGTACTGCTAATAATTTAACCATTAGGGGTGTCAATGTCAGTAGTCACATTGTCACCTAACCTATATCTAGCCAATTTATTACTAGTTGTAGTTGATGCTTATTTTTCTATTGTTTTGCGTTTTGCTTCAGTTGAAGTATATAATATTAACACATTAATTTTATGATTTTCCACTTTAATTCTGGCAAATATTTGATGTAAACACAAAACACTGGAAACAGATTCAACTAATGCTTAAAATTCAAAATAAATCCATTAACGTTAAAATTTGTATTAGTCTTTATGAATGTGTACAGTGTAATCCTACCTAATGAGATTTTATATTATGCAGTACAAAAAAAATTGTTTCACTATTTAATTCAATTCCAAGAAATTCATAATAAATATTTATTATGCATAACAAAATATAACTGCATCCCGAAAATGTGAGTTTACAACAAAACAGTTAATAATATCTGATATAAAAATTAAAAGTCTAAACGGACATTGGTGCGTATATATTAAGTATACTAATTCCAAGCACAAACGCCCAAATCCAGCATACACAACGTATTTGTGTCTTTCTAATAAATAAATGATAGAATATTAACTTATAAAATATCTTTATACCGAATTCATACAACCCGTGAAACTCACTCCGATGTATATTAGATATTGACTGAACCTCGTAATTGAGTAAGTCACTTGGTCGTGTTAGGTTTGAATTTGTGGAGATCAACATCTATTTCTAAAAATAGTTTGAATTTATAATATTATTAGTATTTTTTCAAATCAGTATGTTGAACTCAATACTGAAGTTTCTTAGACTGGTGTGTATTGTGTATAATATGTTCGTGGTATAAAAGTGATTGTATAATTAGGCGATAGTAATGTAAGTAATAGTGAAATACAGTTTTTGTGATTAATATTTTTTGAATAACTACAAAATGACTAAAATCGTTATATTTCAACATCCAATTACGTTAACATTTGTCAAAAACTAGCGTTGCGTAAATATTCTCGTATTCTTTTGATTTTTAGTTTTTTTCCGATTTAAAATATGAAAAAATTCTCGGGAATTTCCTACTTTTGCGGCCCAAGTAACACAACTAGATACATATTATTAGCAAAAATCACCCCCAACATTGAAGTCGGAATCATTAATGATACTAAATTTAATGACAGATCCAAAACAAATAGATAAAACACAATTATTGATTTAGTGATATTCATGAAATATTGACTAATGACTATGGAATGTAGTGTCGTAATTCAGTTCGAGTGAGTGAAGCGAGAAAAAACAATCCATTTTTACCTCCGAAAGTGAATCTACCGTCTACACCAGCACACCCCCCATATGATTTTGTTCAGGATGGCCCTGAATACTACAATACTACTATTTATACTATAGGTATACTTGCATTACAAGTTCTATAATGCCTCATTTCTTATTATTCCTTCAATGATACTAGGCACTAAATACCTGGTGACTAGTCGACTCCTACTATTTTTGTTACCTACCACTACTACTACTACTACTATATTTTGATATTCGGTTGCCAACTAGTGAGAATTTATCCGGCTTTAGATCAATATACATAATTATAGCGGTTCACCTTGTTATACTTGCGCGTGTGAATATATGCGTATTATGATAAATACATAATATACAATATAAAACATATTATACTCCATTTATGTGTTATCTATGCACAAAATAAAGAAAAACTTGTTAAAAAAATGACAGACGCGCGCATAGCGAGGTACGCGTAAACATGTTGTTAGAAGTAAAGGAACAATAATAATAATAATAACAATATTAATAATACAAATTGCAAATGTAGGAGGAGGAGGGGGAGGGAGATTTGTTGCCCGGAGTCTTTGTGCGAGATAGAGGAACCAGAGCGGTAGCGTGTCTGTCCGTCCCGCAGTGTTCAGTCAACTTCTCGCGCGGCACAACCAGTTGTTCGTTGAAAGTTTATACACTTCGTTTAATAGATGTATTTTCGTTCACATGGTAGGTCGCAACACATCACATAGTTGTGTGATTATGAAGTTCATCTATCATTACACCTGGAGCAGGCAAATTATATTCAACTCGCAAAAATTGGTAAAAAGAAGGTGAACGGTAAAAGAGCAACATTTTGCACGACATACAAGTGAAACCAAATATCGAAATTTACCATTATTATTTTGTTTTAATTGCTATTACCCTAAATTCCATTTCATTTAGATATCTAGATATAATTCTATAATTGTTTAATTTTTTGTTTCGATTGTTTTATGAACTATATTATATAAACATATATTAGTATTTTACCACAGGCAGGACTACTTTGTATATATTATATTCTGTTGTCTGGTATTAACATAAATTTCGCAATAGCTTGATATTTGGTTTCGTGTCAAAACACGCCAAGGCTGATGATAACACAGCACATGGCTACCGGAATGATTTCATCTCATTGGTGCTCCTCTGGTACGTTGATGCATCTTTTTTATAACAATTATTTCAGTTTTATAGGGTAAATGTGTAATTTGGTATTCTATGTAGAAAACCTAATTTTAATTCATGGTTGTCACAATTTTCTCGATGTTGCATAGTTCATATAATATTTTATACTAACAATGTGCTAAAATAATAAATTCGGTATTATTTAATCTTTTTAAAATTTCAACAAATTATTATATTCCTCATTTTCAACAATTTAGTTAACAGTAAAATGTTATGAATTGATTCAAAGTTTAGTGCATTTAAATGTAAAGTATGCAAGGGTATGAGGTGTATACAAACATGATTTAGTCTAGAACTGTGTTTATGACTTGTTGCAAATTGTAGGCATTATCACATTATTGCTAGGTAGGTTCATTCAACGTTTTTTTGTTCGTTAGATTGGCGGGATTTCTGTTCAATCGAGTTTCGTATTTTTTTTAAACACTTTGTATAGGTACCAGTTTTGTTTTATTTTTTCATTATTTTCCTTTACAAAATTGTTACGTATTTCTAAATTCAAAGACATTTATTGAAAATGTACATTGTTTTAAAATATAATTTATTTTACATTTAATTTAGGTAGGTATTAAATATTTTTCTTTCCGAAAATTATCCAAATATTTATTTGACTGTTTCCTTATTTCCAAGGAAATCCACTATACACCATCCATATAAATATTAATATTTGTTTAACCTCATTTTTAGTTTTAATTTATTTATATATAATAAGTATTAGACAATTTTTGTTAATTTCTTAATCTAAAATCTGATGTTTCGAAAATGAATATATTTAATATACTTAACTAGCTTTGAGACATCTGCACAAGCCTTAAATTATCATATTACATGATGTTGCAGTTTGATAAAATCATTTTGATAAGAATATTAAGTACAATATAATTTCTATTTCCTATCATTTTGTTTCTTGTTGCCTCAATTTTAAGAAACATTTAGAGTATATCTAGGTTAAAGGTTGTTATTGTAAAAATTATATATTAAAATTATTGGAATTGGAGATAATGTAGGCCTGCAGTGTATCAGGAATTGTATGATTTTTAAAACGTTAATGCGGGGAAATCAATGCAAAAAATGGAATATAATTATCTCGTGGAGTAAAAATTTTACTACATAATAAAAACAATTTTGTTGTTAGTGGGGTGTGAATGGTACTTTCTGAATTTTTAAATTTATTATAACTCATATTAATTATCATAGTTGTGCCTACTGCCCATGATTTCCAGTCTAAAAATGTATGATAATTATAATTTTTATCAACTTATGTACCTAATTGCTAATGCTTATAATGACATAATCATTTAGCAGCTGTAATTATTTGTATTAAATTGTTAGAAGTTGAAACATAACATTTTATTTTAAATATGTTATAATAATGTATAAAAAATGACTTATTCAATTAAATAATTGTTTGTAATGTGTTAAGCCCAAAGTCCAGTATTCTGAGTATTCATAACTATTTTTATATTGTTTTTCATCTAAAATTCGATTACATTTTATAAATTCATGTTATTGCGATAGTTCTCTTATAATTTGTTTAAATATAAATAAATACAAACACTTATATTAAGGAAATACATAATATGTTATAATTATATATATATTATATGTTAGACTTTAGAGTTGTATAACTTATGGGGCTATATATATATATATATTTATTTACTTAAGTAAATATGGTTACATTTAGTAGAATAAATCATACAATTGGATATATATTTTAGTCTTATTTATTCGAAAACTTCCTTGACTTATTGACTGCGTCTGGTGATATGAATAATGAAAATATAATAGTCAAATTATAGTATGATGATAAAGTACTCTGTCCTTTGTTACTTTTAAAATTCGTTGTATTTTTACTGTAAGTAAATACATATGATAATGTATTAATAATATTCTGCTACTCGAGGGACATATATAATAATTAAAATAATTACAGTTTATCTCATGATTCTTTTAAGTTAATGTTTGATTGACATCCAAAGACATTTTTCCTTATATATATATACACATATATTTAATGACAACTATTATATGTCGGGTTGACTATTTAGATAAGCAGACGAGCAGCAATTGTCTCAAATGTTCTATGTGTCTATTTGGGTCACTTCATCAAAGGTCAATATTTATCATAGGATGCTTTTACACTATTGTATTGTAAATTGTCAGTGATGGTTTTGATCTTAATATATAGTTTTGTGATTTACCCAGAATTATAACAAAACTAATCATAACTATTAATGTCAATCATGTCTACATGAAGAGAAATAATATTTTATCAAATCAAATCATTAGTATTAGTATTCATTTTCATTGGTCTAATGTATTTAAAAGGATGGAACAATTTAATTTGTCTTGTTCTTATATATCATTATCAATAGTTGTGTTATAACTTGAGTTATTATTAGAGACTAGTCTAATTTATGGATGAGAACATAATATTCCTTTTACTACCTAGTCCTTATCTCCAATGTAGTTTTTTTTTAAATATTTATATTTTAATAAGAGCTAAATAAAATTGGTTAAGTGTTTTTTTTAAACAAATAAAGAGTAGTTTTAAAATTTAAATACTAAAAAAAACCACTCAGAAATGTTAGGTAAAATTTACTCTAATAGTTATATTATGGTAAGTCAATGATGTCTGTGACAAACATCAAAACAAATGCTATTTAACATTTCTCATTGTTAAATCCTCTTAAGTTTAAGTAATTGTTGTATTGGATAATATCATAAAAATATAAGACAGTTTATAGTTTTATGTAATAATTCAAACTTGAAATAACATTTGATATTATTATTACTTAATGCCTATGTTTGAGTACAATTCATCCATAGTTTGTGATAAACTGGCATGAAAGAATTCAAGTATATGTGATTTCAATATAATACTCACATTTAGTTATTTTTTAATAGTTTTTTAAGTATGAGTTTAAAAATACAAATTTAACACAAAGTTTTTTTTTCAGAATCTGAAACTATCACAGATTGGTTAAATGAAGAAAAATTCATTGACCTTCCAATATTTGATGATTTCATGACTAACACTTCTCCAAACAACATTGAAATGAAACCAATGGAATATCAGAAATTTGTCCCTTCCAACAAAGCTATCCAATACCAACCATATCCAACCCAACAGTATGCACCTATGTACTGTCATGAAACGTCCATTCAGCCGAAATTCAACTATGTTCCACCCGCTTCATTGACCCCACCAGAAAGTCCTAAAGATACCGATGTCCTAATGTCTATGCTAGATGATATGCAACCAGAAGAACTCAGTCAGTTGGTAGTCGACGAAGACACATTGTCAGACTTTATGTCGTCAGACGCTAGTAGCCATACCGATTCTTACAGTGATATAACAACTAAACGAGACAAGCCATACTCTCCAAAGGCACCCAATGAAGAAAAGCGATTACGTAAAAAAGAACAAAACAAAAATGCAGCTACAAGGTACAGGATGAAGAAAAAAGCTGAAATCAAGGAATCTGTAGTAGAAGAGAAACAACTTTTGCAAAGAAATGATACACTCAAGGACGAAGCTAAAGAACTAGCTAGAGAAATTAAGTATTTGAAATCACTGTTGAGGGATGTTTACAAAGCTAAGGGACTATTGAATTGAAATACATTTAAAATTTTTGATCTGATTATTTAACTTTTATGGCATATATTTGATTAATAGTTTGTTGGGTTTTCTCGCATATGAAATTTTTATGTATCCTTAAGTATAATTACAGTATTAGAATATTTGGAAAATCTACTTATAACACCAGTGCAGCCATTATCTCCTTGTAAATATATTCTTATTCTTTTTGTACTAGTTTTATTTTAAATATTTTGTATCCATTATAGGCTTGTTAGAACTAACCAAGAAAACTTGTATCATTTTCAAACATACATCTATATCTTGTGATATTTTAAAAACATACCATTACTGTTGAAGTGTTAGTAAACCTTAAATCAATTACTAAGCAACTGTCTTGATATTTTTTTGAACGATGTTGGTGAAGCATTTTTAATAACTTAACACATTTGGTGTTGTATAGTATATAAAATCTCACAAGTTGTGTATGCTTGATTGTTATATTAAATCCCTTGGTTTAGTTAAAATTATTATTTAGATAAAACATTTATTTTTGCATTCTTATTACTAGGTTAAGTCGTATCAAAAAAAATAATAAATAATGTAGCTTAACATAATATTCTTTTTTTTTTTAATTCAAAACCTTATATTGTTTTAAAACATAACATTATTTTAGTTATTATAATTTATTTTTTGATTTCAATTACGATTTTTAGTTTTACTTACAATTTACATGCGTGTTTATTGATTAGGTTGTTATGATATTTGTCTAAATGATATTGTTGTTTCAACTTGGTAATATATTGTAAAGTTCATTTATTTCTCATAAAAATGAACAATTGTTTTGCAAATGAAACAATTTGGTGTTGATCAATTTTTATCTCAATTTTTATTTGTAACGGGATTAAACTACTTTAATTTAATTTGAATATATATATTAAGATGACTGTTTTAATTTTTAATAATTAATAAAAATTATTCTAAAAACTAAATATTTTGAAATGTATCTTAAAAAAATTGGTTTTATTTGATTTGATAAACCTTATTTTAGGTTGTTTAAGAGAAGATGTCAGCGCACTATTTGTTGCATATCTGACTCATGCACGTTTAAGACAAAACATATTTACTCAAAATAGTTTTTTCTGATTTTTAGATACTCTTTGTGTAAAATTTCCTATTATAAAAATTATATATTTAATGGTTTGACATAAAATATTGTCTGAATATTGTCTCAGAAAAATAAATAATAACTTAATATCCTTTTAAAGTTTCAATACAAAACTGGGATGTTAAACCCACATTTATTACTGTCTATCATTTTGGTAATAGGTATTTACTAAGAAGACTACTTATAAATTGTATAAAAAATAAAATAAACTAATATGGTTCACATCTTCTTTGAATATAAAATATTTATATAACTGCTCATGTTATATACTTTTATATGAAACTATACTAGTAAAGTAGTAAACTAAGTAACTAAATTTATAGTGTTAAATGATTTGTTGTTAAATTTAACACATTTAATGAACCAGTGTCAGGCCCGGATTAACACTACTGTAGGCCCTAGTCCTAGTGCTAATATGGTGCTGTAGTGTTCAGTATTCAAATGATTAAGAAACCTAATGTTTGGGAGATGTAGTGTTAAATCTCAGCGTTTTTAGCCTTTTAAAACGAAAATATTTACAACATGAAAATCATCATGATATTTTACATTTTAAGCACATAATAAGTTCTATTCTTGTTACATAGTTATGTTATTATTACTTAATATTACAACAGAAATAGTATAAGTTTAAAAACAAGTGTACTTCTCATAAGTGCCTCCTAATAAGCCACGAAACGGAGTACTATATTTAATAAAACAAATAAAAAAAGTAATATTAATATTGAGTGTGTGAAATGTTGCAACCCAGAAAGTTCACAAAATCGGAAATACACTCTTGACGGTTACGAATAATAATGACAAAAAAAAATTGTTTTTAGCGAAATTGAAGTTAACCTACTGTAGTACTATTTCCTAAAAGTGAAATGAATTACTTTAATCATAGTAACATCATCAAATATACTAAGTAGTATTAATATACTAATATCATAGGCTGACAGACCGTGATTTTATATCATTGAATTCAAATTCAGCATCATTCATTACACTATTACAGTGACCCACTTGGCACTTGTGACCTACCCACTGTAAAACAGAGCGACATCTCCTTACACGCTTTTTAAATGAATAACAAACATGATATTTTTTTAAACAATATATCAATTATAATCTATATTATTATCACCGGTTTCATAATACTATGGAGGCAAGGTATACTTATAAGTACACTTTGTATATATTTAATATAATAATATATTAGCCATAAGGTATATCCATAGATAAACATTTAATGTATTACCTGAGATAATTCTTTAGTTCACGTTCTCACAAGTTGTAATTAGGTTTAAATAATATGTCAATTAAAGTAAATCATCAATTAGATATTTTTAGTCTTGATCATACAATTAAAACGTTTTTTTTTTTTAATTTTAAATTAATGCATTTAAAATAGTATTTAATAGGGTTCCTAATATTTTTCTGGCCTACACCAAAACATCGTTACGATAGATTTGACTAGTATAAATCAGAGGCGTACCCAGAATTTTTTTTTTTAGGGGGGGGGGGCTAAATTCAAAAAATTTTAACATTAATAGGTATTATTTATTTTAAAATATGTACAAAAATCTTAAAACTTGTTTACAATCTTATAAAGTTGAGATGCCTTGGTCCTTTTTTCCCCATTACTGAGTACTTCTGAAGTTCGAACATCGATTTCTCTGTGAATATGAAGAAAAGCTAATCCATTCAGTCGATTCTCACTCATTGTATTTCTCAAGTATGTTATTATTCTTCTCAAAGTGGAAAATTATCTTTCTGTTGTACTAATCGAAACAGGCAATGTTGAGAATATTTTTAAAAGTATAAGTATAGTCTCAAATAGAGTATCATTACACAAATTTAATGCATCGATTGCATTATGTGGTAATGAATGATTTGGGCATTGGAATTTTTGATACCATAAATCAAATTCGGCTACTGCAGCGTTAACACCATTATCTGGTATATCATCTTTAAAAAATTCTAAAAGTTTTAAATGATGTGATTTTTCTGTTTGATTAGGAGAATTTCCAATTGGTAAAAGACACTTAAAACTTTTAATAATACATTTCTGCTTTGAAAATCGGTCGGATATATTGTTTATAAAAGAATCTAACCATGGAATAAAAATGGCACGTCTATAATATTCTTTTTCATTTTCTGCTGGTACATTGCATCGTTTGGTTTGATTTTTTGTTGATCTGGGCATAGTAATTGTTAGTTCTAAAGCATTAGCAATTTCGTTTGCTTCGTCGAAAATAATTTTAAATTCATTTTCAACATTAGTTCGTATCTCGCGAAGAACGAATACTACACCGTCTACGTTATTCAAAGCCTCTGAAATATCTGAATCACTCGATTGAAGAATTTTACTGACTGGTAAAGTATAACTTAACATTTTCTCTGCACACAATAGTGAAATAATAAAACTTGATTGTCGAATCCCACTTAACAGTAAGAACGCATTAGACGATGAATCTTTACAACTCCATTACTGTATATATCTTCTAAAGCTGCAACTACGGGCAACAACATTTGTTTCATTATAATAACCGAATCATGACGTTCAACCCATTTGGTTGGACAAAGTTGCTTTAATTTCGTTTTATTTGAATTATTAGTTTTAATAATTTAAGAAGAAGCCCCATCAGCCTTGTCCACGTAAAAAGTTTAAATCAATTCCAACATTGTTTAATGTTTCTAAAATAACACCTGCCAAGTTTTGGCCTGTTGTAGATTGAACAGGAACAAATTTCAAAAATTGTAACAAAAAACAATTAACAATTAAAAACGAATAAATCAATAAAAAAAAAACCAACGATGTCGACTTGAACAGTTGAACGACAATACTAGTTGAAAGTGGAAAGTTGAAAGTGGAATTTGTCGCCAAGATACCTGCGGTTTGAGATAAACTAAATTGTATCGATAAAAATGTATAATCTAGAATTCTAGACGTTTCCGGTATCCTACACACAGTACACAGTTTCAACTAACGACGTCGCGACGATAATAATAAACAATACAGAGGTCTCTCCCGGGGCCCGGAATGACAGGTATAAATATAATATAATATTATGTTATACCACTTATACCTAATGTTTAAATTTCGATAGTTGATATTTTTTTTTATAATAATTTAAAGTCAAATGTCAATTGTCAATAAACCTAATAAAATATGTTTTGGGGCTAGCCATTTGGGGGGGGGGGGGCTAAAGTCCGTTAGCCACCCCCTTGGGTGCGCCCTTGGTATAAATTATTTTTGTAACTCGAAAATTATTTTCGCGTATTGATCACTATCCACTAGCTAAGCTACCTTGAAGCATCTACGTGCGCATCGTGTTCAGGTGTTCTATACGTTCCCAGTATTAATTGTTGAATCGTTGTACGCTGTTAAGTCATATAATTAAATATGTCTACCGTAGATTCTAACGACATCGTAATGCTGGAGTTAACGGAAGGAGAAAAGATGAAGAGGATATTTGAAGAGCTGAGATCGGCAAAGTTCAACAATCCAACTAAATTTTCGACACGGGTTGGAACTTGGCCGACGTTGAAAAGACACAAGTCTACGCCGAACGTGGCCACGACTTGTCATCAACCAGCCGCAGCAAGAGACTCCGAAGTCTCCCACCAGTGTTTGTCCGCTCCAGCCGAGTTGCCCTGCAAGCCTTTTGAGCTTTCTGAAGTGCTCACACAAAACGGACCCCCATTCAGTCCATCGGACCTCGAGATGTCCGTTCCAAAGGACGCAGGATCCAACAACGCATCGCTGCAGGATAATGGTGCTGTGAGTCCGATGGCTACTCCGAAAGGAGTTAACGCGTTATCGTGTACGTCCGTGCAGTCGGCGCCCGACCTGCCAGCAACATCGCCCAACGTCCGGGAGACAAGCGAATTTGAAGACTGTTCAGCGCAGAGTCGATGGTCCTCACTTCCTCAGCGCCAAATATACTTATAACTTTTGGACTGGTGGACCACCCGGAACCAAACAAATTATAACCATCTTATTTACTCTTTAAGTTAAATTTAAAATTTTCATGAAGTCACTTTTTGAGTTATTACATTTAACTTAAGGTCTTTTAGGTCACCAAGGAATAACTGAGGAATAAAAAAGCCGTATATAGCACTATTAGTACTAAAGTATTTAAAAGTCAATTAATTTTGTAGGTTAAAAAATGGAGGGGACCGCAAATACTCGCTGCCAATTGCATTTGAAAAAGCAAAAAAATAAATAAAAAGACTTATGAATAAACTTAACATTAATTGGTATAAAAAAACGGGAAGAGCTGGTACGGGATACCTACAAATAAATCCATTTCAAGAAGAAAGAAAAAAATCATATAAAATGATGTATAGGATAATTGGAAATAAAATAAGCTGGAAACTAGACTACAGTCAACAATTCATTAATAATAATAATAATAATAATACAGTAGGTTGAATCTGTGGCGTACCGAAGAGGGACAAATGGACGTAGCCATTTGGACGTAGGGACAATTAAAAAAAAATGTTTAAATGAAATAAAGAATAATATTATTATAATATAGATCATTATCAAAATATATTAAATACAGGGTTTTTCTATCATCTAACAAAAAACTTTTGTAAAAAAATAAACGAAATGGGTTTTGCTTCAATGTATAAAAATCATGCTGATTTTTCATTATCTATAAAAATTGTGGTAGCTCTTTCATTTGTTCCAATCGAAAACCTAGATACCACTACCGGGCACTACACAACAATTAGGAGATGATTTACCAGAATGTTTACAACCTTTATTTGACTGGTTTGAGGATAATTATGCTCGGAGGGTTAATAAAAACGAAAAAGAGGTCGTCGGGCAGCATTATTAACACCACACATTTGGAATTTACACCTACGAGTTTTGAATGGTCACGATAGGACTAACAACCACGCTGAAGCAGCTATAGACGATTAAAATATGTCGAAATGGGAGTTCAACATCCTAGTTTGTAGTCTTCCATCAACTGTTTACGAAAAGTACAAGCTGAGCGAGATGTATTTTACAGCTAACTTAAAGCAGGTAAGAGTCCCTCCAAAAAATTAAATACATTTATTGATGCGGATAAACGTATTTTAAGAATTGTTCAAAGTTATGAAACTAGAACTATAATATCATTTTTACACGGAATCGCTCAAAATACTTCTCTGCATTAACATCAAATGTATAATTTAATATAAAAAAAAACTTATAAGATATTTTATAAATTTCACAAAAAATTACATCTACACCAATATCTTCTTATCTCCCACCTATCATCACGTACACTTCCTGACAATCCCCCTCGCCGCCTTATTAGACGCTGGTGTCGTGATCTTCTATGATTCAATGTAAAATAAAAAAATAAAAAATAAATCAATAAATTATGTTTAATTTAAATCTGAAGGGTTCTATCATTGGATGGCTTCTCTTATCCTGTCATTCTGTCATTATATTATATTGTTTGTTGTACATATTATCACATTTACTCATTGTGTTTTCAAAATACAGATTGTAAATTTTCAAAGAGAAAATAAATATATTTTATATATTCTATTTTGGACATATTATAATTTATAATAATTAGTACAAATAACTTTTTTTGATATTGTATTTTGATTGCTGGTATACCTACAAACGTAATAAAAAATTGTTTGGATACATTTTTATTTTTAATATTTTATGTAATAAATAATTTGTATATTTAAATATTTTGTATTCGTTTTTGTTTGACGAATAAATATTATAATACATGCAAATAACTTATTAATTTTATTTACTGCTTTATGATTTCGATTATAATTTTTTTTTACGTCCGATTGTCGACAAGTCTAAACGGCCACGTCCATTTGTCTTAGATCTGTGGCGTACACAGATATTTTCATTGGGTGGGGTTATCGTTATATAACAATTTGATACACATATTTACTATGTAAATATTATATGAAAATTGTTTTTTAAATGTTTATACTTTTATACAAATAGTGGAAAAATAATTGGGGTTTGAACACCGCCCCCCACCTCGTCCCATATTATGTACGCCACTGGGTTGAATTAATATTTTCTGAAAACATTGAATGTATAAAATATAATAAAAATACAAAATGTTTCAAATGTTTCAAGTTAACATGAAAAATATTCTTAAATTACAACAAAATAACTAAAATCGTATATATTTTTTCCACTAAATAATTTCTTCCTATAAAAAAACCGTGTTAATTTATTTTTAAATATTTTGGTTGCAGTACCTATAAGCTATTAATTTCTGAGAAATTTTGTTTAAAATTCAATTCTCATACATTTTTAACTACAAAGTAATTAGGTAACAAATTTGCGTGATTTTGATGAATTCGTCTTTATAAGTAAACTTTTTTCTCTGTTCAAGATACAAACAATTATGAGGAATCTTGTATTGAATTTTAAAATCTAAGATCTAAAAATCAAAAATATTATGAATTTCTATCTTAAAATTATTTTTCGATTTGACGAATTTTATCAAAATTGTAACTTTGGACACTCATATAAAACTATTTTTTAAGTTACGCTTGTTATTTTTGAATTACACAAACGACAAATTGTTATTTTAATTTTTCAAAAATTAAAATCACTTTTCTTACTTAAATGGAAGCCACTAATAAAGTTATACCACAGATTATATTTTCATATAATCTGCGGTTATACTTTACTTTCTCTTAAATCGTGGTAGATCACAGAATAATATAACATTTTTATATTATTACGTATGGTGGCAGTCTGGGTAGGCAGCGCTTCCAGCGGTAGTTACATGTACTTATAACTACTGTAATTTGTTACTTGTTAGTCTGTTATCATACTATCATAGTACCCAATTGCTAATGGTGTAAGATAATATTATTAAAATGTTAGCTAATAACTAATAAGTTTTTTGTTTAAGACTTAAGAATTAAGCTTAAAAATTGGAAACCTAGTACCTATTATAGTAGTGAACGCTAAACACTAATTGTTAGAATATGTTTATGATGGAAACTAAAGTTCCGCCTTTCATTTTATAAATCCATTTTGAGTAATATTAATAGTGATTACTGATTAGTGAATACAACTAGCTATATAGTGAGTAATCTACTTATACTGATTTATTATGTATTTTGAATGTAAGTTTGTTAATATCGTAGTCTGTTGACATATCATTAATTGTATTTTCTGTGTGACTGTGTAAACTATAAGTATGTAATATAGTATCTGTTACTGAATTCAAGCAAATGGTTTTTTTTTGTGTAATCTCTTATGTGAATTATTTTTTTTATTTTAAAGGATTAAACAAAAAACATCAACATGATCCATTATAAACTAATCTTCTTATTTTGTTCTGTATTAAGTGGTATTTACTGTTCAGTAAGTAAAATTAATTGAAAATAAACTGACAAATAATTGCAATAAGTCAATTTATTTTTACAGGACACAAGTTATGATTCAATATCTGACGTTTATTTAGAACATGAATTGATTCCCAATGCTGGTTTCACCAAACGCAGTTCCATTCTTGTTAATTTGGAGTCCAGGAATGATGTTGTATCTACTACCGCTATTAATGACTCAGACATACAGTTATTAAATGTAATCATTTAATAAATATTCAATTAACTGTTTTATATTTATCAATTATATATATATATATTTATTTATAGCAATTAGCATCTAAAAATGAACTATACAGAGTGAAAGTCACCGTCAGAACATTATCCGGCAAAGAAACAAGTTTTCTTACTTTTACTAGAGCATGTCTTATAGTTGGATCCAAATTAAATGATATTCTAACACTACATTTGGATCATTTAGACTCTCCATTTGCGGTTAACTTAGCAACTACATCAAACAACTGTAACAGTTTTAATGAATTGAGCACAAATAATTTTACAACTACAGTATTTTTCAGAAGGCCAGAAAACAGTCCTGTGTTTGTATTTTGATTTTTTTTTACATTCAAATATTTATATTTAACATTATGTTTGGTTATTTGTAGACCTGATACCGCAACTTATATTCAGAAGATGGAACGTGAGCGTGACGCAAGGGAAAAAGGAAAATCAAGCAATAACAAGTCAATGCTTGGTAAATATGTAAGTAAAAATATATTTAAAATTATTAAGTATACCCAAGTGCACTAAAACAAATTTAGTTAACAAGCCATCTTTTGTTCTTCTAATAGATTCTATGTTGATATACATATAAGTTGATATATATATATATGTTGCACATATATTTATTTTTTTAGTTATTTACAAAATAGATCTTGCCCTCACATTCGTACATAAGGTCACTATAGGCTCATCCATCTAAGTATTTTTCAAACAATTTCAATTTAGCTAAATAAAAACTCATTATGATGTTTTATTTTGAAGAAACAGAAATCGACAATACTCTTGTACCTTTGACATTGATAAAATTATCTTAAAAATTATTATTGAATAGGTATTTTTTTTATCAGTCAATCATTTGGAAAAATTAAATACTTTCATGGATAATAACAACTTATTTTATAACTAGTGTAAATCACATTTAATAATTTATTTACAATTGAAAAACCAATTATTAGTATGGCCTGTTCAGTTATGAATTATTGTATACTAGTTAAGTTAAGATTTTATTTATTCCAAACATCAACTCATTAATAAACATATTTTTTCAGTGGATGTATATATTACCATTAGTCATATTTATGATGATTGCTGGTGCATCAAATCCAGAAGCAAGACAGTAAATCCAAAAATGTACTTCTAAGTTGTATTTATTTTATTATGTTCTTTAATCAACTAATGGAACTATCCCGTTGGTGTCTTTATGTTCAATAATTTAAGTTTCATAATATGTACATTAAGTGATATTATTGATTAAATTACAATATTTGGCTTAAAAATTAAAATGGTGAAGTAATAACTAAAAAATATTTATGTACTTTTTTTCACAATATAACCAGCTCCACTCTTATGTTCAAATACACACTGTCCATTGATCCAAGTTGATTGAACATTCAATTTTTGTCCCAAAAATACAAAATCAGCATCAGCCCCATAGTTAAGCGTGCCTTTAAATTGTTGTATCCCTAAAACTTGAGCTGGATGTAAAGTTATTGTCTCAATTGCTTCAGCAACACTACAATCTTTTAAGATATTTTTTTTAATACACAATTTTACCAAATACGAGTTATAACTTACTTGTTGATTTAATAAAATATCTCATACATTCATCTAAAGAAGTCACGCTACCACATAATGTATTTGTGTTTGCTATGTATGCTTTTGAATTCTTTACTTCAATTTGCTTATCACCCAAATAATGAATTCCATTTGGTAGCCCAATGGCTGACAACGCATCTGTTACCAATATAAGACCTTTTGGGTTGACTTTATGGGCTATTTTTAATGCTGCTGGATGTGTATGAGTACCATCAGCTATAATACCAAAAAATAATGGCTTCTCGACAGTAGGTGGACATGCTATGAGTCCAAGCAACCCTGGATCTCTGTGATGAAACTATAAACACAATTCGTTCAAACAGTTGTTGTTGTGTAATAAAGTATACCTACAGGAAGCATTGCGTTAAATAAATGTGTAATGAATGTTGCTCCATTTTTTACTGCTTGTATACTGGTTTCCATATCTGATGTTGTGTGTCCTAATGATACTACAATTCCATTATTAGATAATAGTTTGATTACCTCCATTGAACCATCAAGTTCTGGAGCTAGAGTAACTATTCCTATATTATCCAAGCTACCATAAGTATCTGTCAAGCTAGAATTTCCTAAGGTTTTTATATTAGAAAGACTATGTGCCCCAAGTTTTAGACTACTAATGAATGGACCTTCAACGTGTGCCCCTAAAACTGCAGCTCCTTGTTCATTGCCACGACAACGTTTGAACTTTGGTAGTGTCTAAAAATGAAATATGTGTAAAAATGATGATATAACTAAATTATGAAAATTGAAACCTTCAAATAATATAATAGAAAATAACTATTGAAATAATATATACTTTTAATGTTTTTATTAAATTAATATTAAAATCTATACACCTACCAATGATATAGTTTTTAATTTTCCTAAAACATTGTTTTGTAGTGTATTAACAATTGTACCCAACAAAAACTTATAGTAGGTACCTAAATAATTTAAAGGTAATTTAATACTGTACTGTCTATACTTGCTTCATGGTAATTTGAACTGGTTGTTGTAACTATAGTAGGACAAAATCCAGTAACACCGTATTGTAATAATCCTTTTCTAACTTTATCAAGTCCATCTCCACTGTGATGAGTAAAATCGACTCCAAAAGCTCCTATACATATATTACATTTTTATACTTTAAACATGATTTAGTTAATAGGTCCATTCAATTTTAGTGAACAAACTATCAATTTTTATGCAGCTCGACAAAACTTTTTCTTTTACTCGGTTTATTTATTTTAAATATTTTAGAATAATTTCATAAAAACTAATTATGTATTAAATAGCTGACTGGTGACTTAATCGATAGGACGATAGATGTACCCAAAAAATGTAACTATTTGAAAATAGGGTAAATATATAAAAACAGTATTACTATTAATAATTAATATACAAAAAGATGCTCTTTTGTAATTTAACCATTTAGATCATCAAAGATTAAATCATGTGATGGATTCATAGACGTGCATTAAACATTTGTTTTGTAATATGCAATAAAAATTCAATATGCTTGGTAAGGACAATTAGCAGGTCTATACAATTTTCACTATGGATTATAAATGTATCCAAGTTAAATCTTAATTTAAGTAGGTATGCTTTTCATTTCACTATATGGAGTGATCCCTAGTTTCAAATTTCTTTTAGTTATGGGCAAAAGGGATTATCTCATTGCACCGCCAACACAAAACTGAATTGTTTTATAGTGTGTGAGATCTTCATATTTAAAGGATAGCTCAAGTGCACAACAAATTGTGAATCACAGAAATCATGGTAGAGTGCTCAAGAAGCCACTGAACTACTTGTAGGTAGCTAATGACACCATTATCAAGTATTGCATAAAATAACATCATATGAATATACTATACAAATAAATACAAAATTGGGCAAAAGTTTTGGCAGTACTTATCATTTTATAAAGAAAGTATAATTTAAAATAAACATTGCAATAATTAGCTGTAGATGACACTTAACTAATATAAATACTGTGCATTTTAATATTCAATAAAATATGAATATGCAAGAAAACTATAGTCCATAATGTATTTATTAAGATTTACACAAACATTTATAAACATGGCAAACCAAGTCTTATCTGTTTTTATTTTGTAAATAGATAAATGTTTGTTCTTTGATCTTACACAACTTCAATGTGATGTCAATTTATAGTTGAATAATATTATAGTAATGGCTTTTAATCTATGGTAACAAGGTCATGAAGATAATAGTTTATATTTTATTTTTTTTTAAATGAAAATGGGGAACCTTTATTATTAAAATATTGTAATTAAATTAACATTGAACGTGATTTATAACTTTTCTGGAACTTTGAATGCAACTATGGAAAAATGTTGGTTAGAAATTGTCAAATTGTGGAATAAGAAATACATGAGTAAGTTATTCATGCTATGTTAGGATTGATAAAACATATAACTTTATACTAACCGTTAATTTGCAGATCTATAAATCCAGGAGTTATTAAAGATCCTAGGCAATCAATTTCAATGTCTGGAACTTTTTTATTGTCATAAAATATAATTTCTGGATTTGCTATTCGACCATCCACAACCCATAGGTCATGTGCAAGAATTTTGCCATCTTTTAAAATGTTGCAGTTAAAAAACTTAGTGACAATATTCATATCTGTTGGATCACTTGGATAGAAAGAACTATAACTGCAGCTAATTGAAAGATAACTGAACAGTATTTGTAATATAACTTACCACACGTGCCATATGACTTATTAGGATTTAACAAGGTCATAATTCATTACATATTTTGTTACATGTAATTGTTATCATTGTTTTCATATATAACTATCTGTTTATGTAGAGTAAACAATTTGTTTTATTGCAACTTAAAATAGTACATCATAATAATATAGATTAGATATAAATAATTCGGTAAATAAAACAATTTCCTTAGTTCTTAAAATTAAAAGAAAAAAAATAACAAAAATATCACCTAGTATTTTTTAGCGATTCAGTCTTCTTAAATATTTACAACAAAATTAAATATTTAATATATAATTATGATAAATATGTTTATGACAAGGAAGATTTTTTTCTTAACTTTTTCACATTTACAAAATAAATAAATAAGATTTGTAAAACAAGAGCAGATATCTTGTCACGAACAATTAGTGATAAACATGGATCTTGGTCCTAAAATTAATAACTATTTCAAATAAAATCAATTTTTTTAATTCAGCATTTTTATCATGAAATTTATTTTATTTATGCTTCATGCCTCTTATGGCCAATATGAAAAAAAAATGGCTTTAGTTGTAGATGACTAGATATTTAAATTAATTCCATGTTGTTATATAAGTATAGAACCAAGAAAATAATTATTAAAAAATTTATCGAACTATATAATTTAAATTAGGTTTGTTTTATAATCACGGAACGTTAAAGTTTGAGCGAAAAAGAAAAACACTTGCTTTGTTATCTGTGTTAAAAAAAAAAAGTAATAACAAATAAAATTACAATTGGTACTAATTAGTAACCAATATAACGAAAAAATAATATCTTAATATTGCAATTACGTATGAGAACACCAACAACAAGTTAACTAACAATTAAACAACATGCATGTCATAAAATAATGATAATAATAATAATAATGTGAATGAGTATATATACATAAAATATATAATTAAAACTTCAAAAAAATTGTTTTGCCTATTTCTAGATTAATTTGACTAAAAAGTTCACTAGATTGTTTAAACGAGGTAAACGTCCATTATTTATAAAAAAAAAATAATATAATATATATACTATGTATATAATAAATGACTTACAATATATATCTTAATACAAGAAATTTAATATTATGAGACTTTTAAAATAAAAACAAAAACAGCTCATACATTTTTTTACCTTTTAATAAATAGGAACTAAAATTACTTTTTCTTGATGAGGAAATAAATTAATTTAATAATAATAATAATAATAATCATCATATAAAAGAAAAGAAAGTCAGTAAAATGTCAGTGTTCTTAAAATTAAATTTGTTAAATCTAAAAAAAAACAAAAAAAATGCACTTCGAGCAGTCTCAAAAATTAATTAACTATTTATATAATAAAAATTGAAGAATAACAGGAAAAATAAGTTAACAACAAATACATTTTTGGGGGAGTTTTTCAGATAATTTTCTAGAGTAACTTACACAGTTGCATTCAAGACAAGAACATGGTGATTATTTTTTGCCAAAGTAACAATATGACCACCACTAGTTATTTTCAACCCACAACAACGAGACACCTATAACAAATATTTAATAATATTATATAAAGTGTATAAATTACTACTAAGTCTTTATAGAAATATTGGACGATAACTCAGATGTATGTAAAAGATTAGAATAGTTAAGTTTTTACACCATCAAGTCAATAAAGTGATGATACAAGGTTCTTATTTTACCTTTATTATATATTGGAATTTCATTTAAAAAAATGATCTAAAAATATGTAGTTATGAGGATTTTGAAATTAATGTTTCCCATACTTTAGTTAAAATGTAACTGCAATGTAAGATATTTGTTACATTTATATTTTCAGCGCAATATAAAAAATAAACTGAAAATGCTATGTTATTTAATAAATTATTATATCAGAATACATTCAGTAAATGAATTGCTTGATAGGAAAAGTCATCCATTGGCCATTGATAATACCCTGCATATAATTTA